AAGTGGACGAAAAAAAAAAACATCTACGGAACTGTATTCATAATTCATTACTGAATATCGGAATAATTTACTACCGTTTTCCGGAGTCGACATAACATGTTATAGTTCTCTAGAAACGATTTTTCAGTTGGAAATGAAAAGAAGTTTATTTGAAAAGTACAAAGCATCAGTTGACAAATTTACACTACTACATAAATGTTTGTTTGATATTATAACGCCTAAACGACTGAACGGATTTAAATGAAACTTTCCGTAAATACAGCTTATATGTATATCATAATAACATATAGGCTACAATTCACGAATGTTTTGTGTGATTTTGGTCATAATATAACAATAAGTATTGAGTAAGTCGTAAAAATTCTTGCTCCCTAAAAGCTATCTTGTCTTGCGCTGCCTAAACCGTTGAAGTTACATGAAGATAATGTACCGTAAGATTGTTTATCTGAAATAGTTCTGAATGAAAGTCCGCAAAAGCATATATCTACCTCTTATGTAGTAGCCACTATATGCAAAATACCATATATACAATTAAATAGGATACTTTTGTCTTACAAAAGCACATTTTAGAATATCTGTCAAATTCTTATAAACATTTATACAAGTGTCGTTTAAAGTAATTAATATAGATAAACTTAGTCTTGAACACTAAGTAACTTGGATGAATCGTTTGAAAGTTATCACGATAAGATTAACTTGACGCAACGCAGTGAGCCACTGCGCGTCGCGTCTACTGTAAGACGACGGAGAACCATGCGCGGGGGTGTGGGGACGGTCTAAGCAATGAAGCGCCATCGCTGAGAACGGGACCCGAACGCGGGCAGAAGTGTAAGGGCAAACGACGGTTGTGTTAGTTTTGCGAATTTATTTATAGCTAAGATAATTCGATTCTCGAAGCTATTCATTACTTAGTGCAGTTGACATATTTTGTTAGTTTCTGCATTCATAACGTAAAAATATTAATTATTAGATGTTGTTCGCTCTTATATTTACGTTCAGGAGAAGCTACTGAACTTAGAATATTGAAATATGCAGGTAGGTTCTTTGTATAGCGTAATTGAGTATCAAGAAAGGGAATCAGGAATTTTCACCCCCAAGAGGTGATTTGTCACGAAACTTAATGTGAAAAACCAAATTCTACGCGGGCGAAACCGCGGGCAATAACGAGTATTTATATAATGCAATGTTCAAATGTTTTAATATGTTAATTTGAAAGGGTTATATTTCTAGGAGTGACTAATTCCACTCCATCTTGATATAGAAGAATGTGGGAATGTTCTAAAGAAAGGAAAGAAGTAATCAATTTTAAAAGAAGTAACTATTTTAATATGGTTCTTTCAAACTCAATTTTGCCAACAATATTTGAATAAATGTTTTGGCAAGGACCGAGAAAATAGTTGTGTGATTGATTTTTTAATATGTTCTTAGGTATGCTATAAATAATCTATTTTGAGATTTTAATGTTACCATGAATGATGTCGTTAATTTCAGGTGGTGATTACTTGTCATACTCAATGAAAAAAGTTCATATGAACGTGTGTCTTAGCTTTTACTAAAAATATTTTTTTTTATTATCAACTCACAATTATTTCTGCCGATTTCAACTGAACTACGTTTGTTTGTTATGGGTAACAATAGGCCTCTTTTCATGACATTAGTTATGGAATTTTTAATTCCAGTGGCGTTGCAGACTGTTATTTGATTGATATTCATAGTAAAAATCATTGAAAACCACTGTTTTCGCTTAGTTTGATATTATTTGAAATAGCTAAACTTCATAGAATCAGAGTAAATGGCGCAAAAATGGGGATTACGCATCATTTGAATTCAATTTTTTTTTATATTCGTCGACATTTCAACAAACTTTGAAATGAAAATCCGTTTAGATAGTAGATAATAATGTTGAATGTTTATTCATACATAGCGAAAAAAAATACAGACCTTCTATTGTTACAAAATCAAATGTCTAATAAAAAAAAACTTAGTAATATGAGGCTTAGAATAGACAAAAATTCACCGAAGCTGATATTATCAGCTTGTGTGTGGTGACATATTATTCTGGTGTAAAGTTGACGAATCAAATGTAATACAGTCAAATTAATGGAACTGAAAACAAGGGTAAAAATGAGATTATAGGTTAACCAAAAGAATGTGTTTTCAACTAGCTTGAGAGTTTCGGATATAGCTTAATTATAAAAGGAGCAGTAGACGAAAGTTGGAACAAAAATGGCTTAAGAAAAGTGTAAACAATATAATTTTTTTTCAAGGAAATAATACTATATAATAATACCAAAAATGAATGAAAAACGTATTCAAACTGCAAGTCAATTTGTATTTTATTTGGAGAACGCATGCGTTCAAAAGTTTCTAGAGTATTGCGGATAACATTAGAATTATGCATAATTCCATTTCTCAAGTCATTTTCATCGACAACGGGTGTCACATTAACAAGCGATTTCAAGTCTGGAGATCTAGGTGGCCATAGTTGAGGATCCCCACAACCTATCTACTGGTGAGCAAAAGTATCAGTGAGATATTCACGAGTGGTTACACTGAAATGAACCACATATTTCGTCTTACTAGCAAAGGTACATACTCTAACAATTCTGAGAATGTGTCTTCTAGAAATTGTCTCTACGTCACATCTGATCACAGTTTCGAATTTACTTGACAAAATGTACTAATACATAACGTGTTAGGAATCACACGTTGAAAGGTAAAACCTCGTTACTCCTTAGCTCGCACAAGTTTCTCCACATCTGAGAGTTGTCTTTCGTATGGGGGCGACAGCTAATCAACGGAAAAACAGATTTTAAACAGATTTTTTAAACCGTGTTTGCACGCTGAAACAATTTGATATACTACTTCATGATACTAGTGAGTGACATCACTGGAATGATTATGCGTAATCTGATTTCATGAAAAGAAGCATCTTGTTACTGCTAACGAACACATCTGGTTTCATTAAAATCGGCGAAAAGATTTTTGAGTTATTATTGAAAGAACAATATTTTTGAAGTATGACAAAAATCACCACCTGAAATCAATGACATCATTTAAGATACACTCTGTATAGTCAACAAAATATTCATCAACATTTTGTGTTGCTTGTAAATGACTGTACTAATAAGAAAATGTGACGATTTGAAGCATTTATATCCACATCACCTAAGGCATAATGTGGATTCTCTAGATCATGAAGACTGGAGAATATGACTCACGTTTCAGAAAAAGTCAGTTACAAATTGGTCAAACGAGATCTTTCAACTAAGATACTGCAAATAGTTTGTAAATCGTGGCGACGGATTCTTATCGGGAAAAATTGCAATTTATTGAGTAGCTCGCCTTGAAATGATAATATTTTGCGATAACAGAAGTGTGAAAAAACTATGGGATAGATTAGATACTCGTCATCAGGTTAAACAAGTTCCCTAAGATTAATATTTTTTTTCCAATTTTGTCTGACTAATATTTGTGAATGACTTTATTGAATATAAAAATGATGAGTTATTCAAATTATCTGCTATGAAATTACAAAAAAATCAAAAGAACCAAGTTGAATGCGGTAATTGTTCAAAATCTGGTAATATTTGTAATTTCATAAATAATGAACAAGGAAAACACGATTGATTATATCAGTTCTCGCGTGTAACTCATAGTAAAGGGTCCACATAGAGTCGCAATAAAGTGGTTGAACGAACCGTTAGGTTAGGTAGGGTCCAAAGTGAATAGGTTTATTCGACCCTTTACCGCAACTCACAAGGGTTTATTGTGGCTCACACCTATTCACACTCGACCAAATAAATACAGCTTCTTAACGAAGACGATTAGTTTGTATGGTGAGTGGTCTTTCAGATCAGACCCTAAGAGTACGGCTCTGACGAACTCTAAAAACCTGATTCGGTCCCCAGCGGGGCGGGCACAAATTATATGCTCTGCTGTTTCATCGTTAATGAGGTAGTCGGATAGTCAAGGTGTAAGATTCCCACCTTGATGCCAATGGCAACCTTTCCATATGAGGGTTTTTGCACGTCAGCTACACCTGGCGATGCCTTAGATTCAACCGTGCAGGGCTTTTTCGCCTCTGGTTTTGGTGAATCATCACTTGAGCGCAAACGTTTGGTCAGTTGGAGTTGGAGTCGTAAGCTCGACATCCATGTTCTCTGTAGACTCAGAGTCAGAAAGAATTTTTAAGTTTACTCTGTCCATAAAAGTCTCACGAGTAGCTAGAGAAAGAAGGTCAATCACGACACAGCCCCGCATTACCGTGACAAGGCGATGCTACGACGAGAGGGCGCCCGGTATCTCGAAGGTTCCGTAGAGACAGCTGATAGGCTCAGTGTCATTCATCCTCTCGGCACGGGTAAACACACCTTAGGATTGAGCCATCATTGGGATGCCATTCAGTTAAGGAATAACAGAACCACAAGTAATTATGTCATTCCCATATCCATCGGGGCTACGTGGAAGCAGGCATCCGATGGCCGGTTTGCTCAACTCCCACATCCCAAGCCAATGTACTCGCCAAAAACAGCATGCACAGTAGTTCAGACAGTGAAAGAAGAACAAGGACACCCAACCGTTCTTAACATTTGTAACCACTTGTATGCTGAAGGGATACTTGAAACCAACCAAGTTATCAACGTTACAAGGTCGATATGTAGCAAATAACGTATGAGGTTGAATATTGTAAACCGAAGCGCAGCCAAGGATTATAACAACCGAATCCATTATTTGCGTATCGGCAGTATGTCAAGACTTTCGTAATCCCCCTGAAAGATTACATTTTGATTTCGAGGAAAAAACAAACCACGTACCTCGTAATGGGGAATGTTCCTCAATTTGGGTTATTACAGCAAACCAAGTTCGAACAAAATAAAGTTGAGTTCAATTCATGAGTTTTTCAAATTCACTTCGAAAAGTATTCAAATTGATGTTTCAAATGTTGGGTTCTAATTTTTGAAGGGATTTGTTTCTAATTCACATATTGGCAACAGCGCCTAGAATGCTAGATCGGAGTCCAGGTTAGTATTATGCTAGAAAAAGAAGATTCATGTCAATAGTGTCAAATTAAGGCAAAATATAAATTATAGTTCAATACCACCTCCACAAGCCACATAAACAATAGTTATTTATGTAGAGGAAAATAGGTTGGGTGCACAAAATGTTGTATGTCACAGAATGTCTCGGAACATAAGTAAACAGAACAGCACGCCTCTGAAATATGTCATCTTTGTTTGTCTCATACAGGTAACAGATTCATTGTCCTTTATTAGCTATAACCGATGTTGCCAAATGGTGAAATAGAAACGAATCCCTTTAAATGTTGAATGCATTATTTCATTCCTCTTTTTTAAGCATTTGAATAATTTTTTAAAGAAAACGGTTGAAATGATGAGTTTAAAATGCGTTGTTTTAGAGCTCTTTCATGAAAACTACTTGATTTTCGTCAGGAGGAACATTCACCATTCTACAGAAAAATCCCAACATCGTGTTGTCATGGAACAGATTAATAATATCGCAATACTATTATAAACAACGCTGTTAACATTAACTTTTCAATTGTCATCTGAATACCGTTAAATCAAAATAACAGTATGGGATTACGAAAAAAGAGTTTTTATAAGTGAAAACAAACACCACACGTAGAAAAATACCCGAAAAACTCTCAAAAAATCCAAACTCACCCCATCAGCTTCTTCCTGCAAAGTCCTGTACCTGGCCAGCTCCTTCAGCCTCTCCATCCTCTCCAGCTTGAGCTGTTCCAGTCTCTTCGTCACTCTCTCTACTGCTTCGAAGGAATCGTATGCTAAGCTAGCGTTCCTTTTAACGTCTTTGCTGTTCGCCAACCATTGCCTCCTTTCTGCCAAACTAGTCAAAGTCTTTCTTCCCTCTCTTCTCAGCTTTTGTACGTTCTCGGAATCCAGAGCTTTGGAAATTTGCCTGGAAGAAGAAACACGAGTGTTGTGGTTGAGTTAAGGCGGGACAATGTGAATGACGGTACCTTTTCCGCGGTGGATTGTTTTTCTCCATCCCGATTACGTGTTATTCGTATGAGTATGTTATGCACAACTGTTGTTTAGTGAGAAATCGGGTATTCTGATTAGATAGTGAGGTGCATTGTAGTGAATCGGTATAGGAAATATCTGGACTGAATCATATTGATGAGCTACTGGTGCTAGAATGCGTTCATATAAAAAGATTTTGTTTGTTTGTACCATGGAAAATGCATAAATTCTTAATGTTTCAAGAATGGAGTTTTATTGTCTGAAATGTATTAATAGATTTGGAATAAAGTAAAGAAATTGATAATAATAATAATATTTATTAAAAGATAGTACGAGGGTAGTCCTAGAAGTACCCGCCCAACAAAAAAAAAAACAAAAAAATGATGAAAATTTTTTTTTTTCAATTGTAGCTCTATACACTTTTCCCAGCTACGTTCAATAAGTTCGATACCGGTTTTATAATAAGAACTGTTTGCTCCTCAAAATAGCCATTAACCACCGACATCACTTCTTCATCGTTGGAAAATCTTTGATCCCCGAGTCATTTTTTCAAGTTTAGGAACAGAAAATAATCTGAGAGGGCTGAATCAGAAGAATAGGGTGCACGAGGTAGCAATTCAAACTTCAACTCGTTAATTTTGTTCATTGCGGATGAGTTCGCATAAAACTCGTCATTGATAGTGTTACCTTTTTCAATGAAAATCATCCCGCGCGCATCCTTTTGCGCCTTCTTTGGAGCCGGTATTTCCTTTTGAATCCACGTTTTGATTGTCCTTTTGTCTCGGGTGTGAGGTGATGGATCCATGTTTCATCCATGGTTATGAATCTGCTATGGCTGTAGAACGAGTGAAAGCAGGGAGACTGGTGAATAAAAGAGTAGCAATGATTCAGAGGATGATTGAGGAGAGAGTATGAGGGGAGTACGTACCCAACCCACACGGAGGAGGGGACACGATGACAACATCAGAAACATGAAGAGGCCACTATGGGCATGGACAAGGAGCAGGTCTCGTGGAATGTGAGAAAGCTACATAATAAAATGGAGGAGAAGAAACGAATAAAAGAGAGTATCAGGAGGGAATGGCAAAGGGAATGGGAGAGAGGCGCGACTGGGTGGCTGTTCTTCAGATTTTGTAGAACAGTCGTGCATGAATCATTGGATCTGTCGTGGAAGATGGTCCAGCTGCTCACGGGGCATGGGAACTTCCCGGGATACCTGGAACGATTCAACCTGGGCCCGGAGGTGCCCTGCCCTTGTGACTATGGGGAGCCGGAAACGGCAGATCACGTGATTGATAGATACGTTCTAGGGAATAGGATTGGATGGCAAGAGTTGAAGAAAAGGATGGAGAGGGTGGATGGTGAAATTATACTGAAGGATACAAACGGAAAAAAGAACGAACGGATACGATTCGCGAATGAATTGGCAGATAGCGTGATGAGGAATGAAAGGGAAGGATAGAGGTAAGCTGCCAGTACACAGAAAAAAAAGGGAGAGGTCGTAGGATTTGAAATTTTAAATTTTATTTTAACGGCCATGCATGGCACTTACTAGTGGCGTGGTAGCAACTCGTGCTACCACGTGAAATTTGTTGTAAACCATATAGTAATACACTGACAACTTCTTAAAAATGAATTGTAGGAAAGACAATCGCACATGTACACTTTTCACTTATTATGGTTGACGCTGAACTTACCTGCACTGATGATTGAGAAATCTACGTGTTATTTGATGAGGCACCTCTTCGTTTCTGAGCTGTGATAGCGTCGTTAGAAGGCTTCTTCCAGCGATCTTGCAGGCCGCCAAAAAAGGTTCCAGTTGCTTGAAAAATTCCACCCACTCGAGCTGATCATGAGTACAAGTTCCGCCGCAACTGGCTGGAGTCTGATCTCGAGATATGTAGCGTCTCAAGTATGATTCCTCTGAAATTAGTGTGACCTGAAGAAAAAACCAGAATGAATTCATTATTGTTTTATTTGTTAGGAAAATAAAATTTTCTGCGAGCGACAATACTTTGTTTCCAATATCGACAAGTGAACACTTAGTATACTTTTTCCAAGACTAAATCATCTACGGATTTCAACAAAAAACATCACATTCAACTTTGAGGAATTAGTGATGCACTGTTTGGAACCTTTGGTGTAGTAATGAATATTACTGGAATTTTTACCAAAACCAAACTGTTATTTTAATACCTCGACACGTGTTTCGATCACGTGATCATCTTCAAGAGGAAGTTTTATCTTCCTCTTGAACGTCTAACTGGCGTTGGGTCATGAATTCACCGATGATTCATCGATGAATCGTCAAGATAAATAACCCTCTGAAGAAGCCAGCCACTCATGCTGACGAAACGTTAGGATGCAGTTCCAAACTTCGACGGCCCTCAAACCTGAATGAAGATAGTAACACTGAAAATCTTGGCTGCGAAAGCCTTAAACAATTTATGAAATGTGGATTTCTTTCATCACAGTGAATTCCAGATTTCGTTTCATGCCCGGTTTTTGACCCGTCAGTATACCAGATGTTTCTGCCGAGTACATTCTCAGAGTGATTGTTCAGTCTCCATTTTTCGCGATTCAAGACCTTAACCGAAAATTTTGTGTCGAACATGCATTTTGCGAACATATTTGATCTTCGTTCATGCACATACTCCGAAATTTCTGTTATGCCAGATCCTTTTGAACAAATTAAGATGCAATTCAGTCACATTATAGAATAGAATAGAACATAATAGAATAGAATAGAATAGAATAGAATAGAATAGAGTAGAATAGAATAGAATAGTATATTCTCAGAGTAACTGTTCATTCTCCATTCTCCGATTCAAGACCTTAACCGAGAATTTTGTGTCGAACATGCATTTTGAGAACATATTTGATCTTCGTTCATGCACATACTCCGAAATTTCTGTTATGCTCGATCCTTTTGAACGAATTAAGATTATATATGTAATGTTATTTCAAGTCTAAATCTTGACTGTCTGAGCTGTTCTGCATTTCTAGTTTCATAATTATGATGATCTGCGTGTTTGGAGAGTAGTATTTTGTTTGTATGTATTTCTAACAGTGAGTAGAAAATCAACTTACAGGGCAAAGACATTCCCAATTTTCAAAAAGTGGTTGATAGTGTCGAATGGAGCTCCAGCTATAATTCTGATGGATTTTTCTGCATGCGAAAAGCTCTGATCGCGTAAGTAGGTCTACCCCAAAGGAGTATGTCATATGAAAGGTGACAGTGAAAAAGGTAATGACACGAAATGAGAAGTGTTTTATGGCTCAATTCTTTTTTTAACTGGCGGAGTAGAAACAACTGTGTCGAGATGGTCAATATGTGATTTCCATCGAAGCGACTCATCTACAATTATACTAACAATTCAACTTGAGCTTCGATTGTTACCCTGGTATTAGAAGATATAGTTGTTTTCTGAGTTTTTTCCCTGTTAAGTTTCAGTTTGTTGGATGTTTAAAATGTGTTTAATCTGTTCAAAATATGTTTTTCCGTTAACTAGCTGTCGCACCCCTACGAACAACAACCCTCAGAAGTCGAAACTTGTGCGAGCTAAGGATTAACGAGGTCTTACCTTTTAACGTGTGCTTCCTAACACGCTTAATCAAACACTTCATAGAATTAAAATCAGGGTACAAGATTAGAAAATATATGTTACAATATCACGATTCTTAATAGAAGCTGAATACAAGTGCCATTTTCATTTCATTCAACGCCGGGATTTTTATCATAACGTACATAGAAGATGACATATCGTTTTCGCATTTTGATATGTTTCTTTTTGCATATTCCAAGACGCTGTGCAATGCGGGTCAAAACACCCATGACCCGGAGAAAAATGTTCACCCATCACATTCCGCAGAGATTACCGGACTGCCCATCTGGGTCGTCCTTATTGTAATTCAATGGTCAATTTCGAGCCTAACTCATTATATGGTTAATCGCTGGAAACATGATGTTTATATTGGATCTCCCAAGTGCAACTCGACCATTAGACCATAAATCTTGAAGTGTGCAGACTTTTTAATCAAGTGATTGATTACGTTTTAACGTTTACGATCGTTACAGCCGGCTTTCTAATATGTTTGGCTCGACAAGTAATTACTTGGATGGTTCATTTTTACCACGTGCATCTCCTCGGCTTCGATATGCCTCGTTGTGTATGATAACTCAGTTAAGGCTGTTTAGTACAAGGGATACCATCCAAAAAACTGTCTTCAAACAACGAAATTTTTATCTTCACATATAGTCAGTGGGTATACTTGAAGAATGGTTATAAATGAAATCATCTGAAGGAACAATTTGTTGTTTGTTTGAAGGTGATTGACAATGTTTCGTGATGAATTTCACTAGTTCGGACTTCCATTGTCTATTATATAAAATGATTTGAAATCCCTGAAACAAGTAAAAAGAATAATTAAAAAAGAATAGTTGAAAATAACAATTATATTAAGCAACAATAAACCTGAAATGAAATGATAGTAAAATAACCTACAAGTAAAAATATAATAATTGAATAAATAAAAATTAAAGGAATGCAAAAAGAAAATAATAAAAATAAAAAAGTGTAGAGATTCCAAGTCACGTTAGTTCACGACGTTTCGATTGTTGGTATCTACAATCGTCTTCGGGTGATGACTGGACTGATTCCTCCGAGAGATGACTANTAATTTTGCACCAAAATCTTTGAAAATTATTTTATTCTTCAAAAAATTTGACCGTGGTTAACACCATAGTTGTGTAATTCGTGATATTATGGGCTTTTAAAATGAACTGTCTTATACAGGATGCTGTCTATTTGTCGTTTTAGAAAATTTTTCTTTTCGCAGTCCCCATTTAAAAAAAATTGTAAAAAATCAAACTTCACTGAGATGGCCATAACTTCCTCGTATCATACGTGTGTTTTACTGTATTTTGTTGGTGCATGTTTAGTTTTAGGGGATGCACAAACTTTTATCAAGAATAAGTTTTTGTCGATAGATCCTTAATAAAGAAACCCATACGGTGCATACTTTGGGTCATCCCCAAAGTATAAATTGTTGGATATATAAGGTGGAGTTTGGATTAAACAATTATCTTATTTTCATGAGGTTATGTGAGTCACTAAAGTATGGCAATTTGTTTTTCATTTCGGTCTCTTGAATCTATTTATTGTATTGGTGAGTTTTATTAGATTCGTATATTCATTTGAGTTGTCTCAGTAGAGTTGGGGTCTCGTCACTGTCATAATCATAATATCAAATTGAACCTGTTAATTTCAGTAGAAAAATGTATGCAAAGTTTCAAAATTTAGTCATAATCATAGTTCAATATTTGATTTCAGGTTGATTAGGTCAGTGACAGTCATTGTAATAGCGATAATGATGAATAACTACGCTCTGAGAGTCACCTATAATTCAAGTATAATGACACCTATATGTTGATTTCACGGCTGTCAGTTTTATCGATGTTGAGTAGAAACCTTTTATCGCTGTACAACTCTGTTTGGGCGGTCTAGATATCAATTTTTCCATTATTTTGTCGCATTGAAGAAAGTATCCATTGATATTTCTGGTTGTTTTCTATCGATCCAGAAGATGTTTATGTTTAGTAATATTCTGGCCTGCCCATCAGGAACAGTTTATTTATTTATTTATTTATTCACCCTAACAGACCACATAGGTCTAATTACAAGGATGACCTTATTACATACAATATAATAGATACAATATAATACACTAAAANGAGGTAACTTCAAATTTTCTTGAATATGAACCATGATATTTTACAAGAGAATCTCTGTTTTCCAAATAGCTTTTGAACAATTTGAGAGTATTTTTAGTTAAACCATAATGACTCAACTTCAACAATAAAATATCATGATCTACTTTATCGAAAGCTTTTTGGAAGTCTGTATAGATAGTATCCAATTGAGATTTGTTGTCAAGTGCCTCATATGCTTTGTGAGTGTAAGTTAACAGTTGAGCCCAACGTAAGCTTTCGAACTCAGAGCAGATAACCACAATAACAAGACTAATCAGTTCAGCCAATTCTCGAATTCTAAACCCTTCATCGATTAGACTGCAGCAAGACTCGGCCTTTTTGCTCTCACAACCTCATCGTTTTCATTTGGACCTAAGCCCTGCCTAATAATCCCTTCATTTGATGCGCGAGTTTAATTTCCATTGTTATTGTTCAAAGGTGGTGAAAGGGAGAATCCGTGGATTATTTCTAAAAAACGTTCTGACAATGGAAAACTGAATTCTTTACACCCGTCGAGTTAGGCCAAAAAGAAAATTGAAAAAACTAACAAGTTGTTTTTTTGTCTTCAATGAGTGCCCGAATAAAATAAACAAACCTGTTGACAGACTAAGTTTTACGGATACTGCAATGGCAATTCGTCACTTTCCTAGCATCATGAGCTGATTTGTGGGGGAGAGGGTAATTACCCTCCCCGACATCAACTTCCAATACATTTCAAATGAGTATTGTTATATATACTGGCACCTACTTTCATACATTGAATTCCCTCCTCCATTTAAGATGATTACCACGACCCAGGAAATTCAGAAATTAAGATTTTCCGAAATTGAGACCGGAATTTGGTTTATTTACTAACCTGTGCACGACTAGATAATGGCTTCACTTCTTTGTGCTCCTTCAGCCCTGGTGTCCAAATCAGAAACCTATGTATTTTCGCAGAATTCACAATTAGACAAATGGATTTGTCCAATACTTCCAGAACCCTATAGTCAGCTTCGTTTTCGGCTAAAAGAAGTACCGTGAATCCTTTTTCTCGACTCTCCAATCTGAAAATTATATCAGCACATCAAGGATAATGCTGTAAACAGACATTCATCACAATATATTGTATTTTTTAAACAACTGTTCAATTCTCTAGTACAGGGGTCTCCAAACTTTGATAATGATTTTTTCAGTTTGTTCCAAGGGCCAATTTCTGTCCTTAACTATATTTCTAGACTAGGATAGTCGCAAAGTGCGTGACCTAAGCAAACTTACGCTTTTTTTGCATTTCAATTATTATTGTGTATTGTGACACTTAACGACATCTAGTGGCGAGTAGTGGTACTATGTAC